GTTTTTCCAGAGTACCTTCCTTCTCAGTGTATTTGAACTACCACCTCTATGAAGATCCTTTCATATTTCCAGTTCCATTAGAACAGCAGTTTAATACTGGCCATGTATCAGAGCCACTTACAAAGCTTTAAAAAAAAATCCATATGCCCTACTTCTACAGATTCTGGTTAGTAGAAATGGAATGCAGCCAGAGCATACATCTGTTTTATAAAGCTCCACAGGTGCAACTAAGGTTGAGAATAAGTAAGACCAGAGACAGAAATTTTCATTTTCATCTTTCAAGTCAGGGTCTCACTCTATTGCCCAGGCTAAAGGGCAGTGGCATAATCACGACTGACCACAGCCTCGACCTTCTGGGCTCAGGCGATCCTTCTATCTGAGCTTCCCAAGCAGCTGGGACTACAGATACATGCCACCACATCTGACAAAATTTTTTTTTGTAGGGATGAGGTCTTGCTATGTTGCCCAGACTGGTCTTGAACTCTTGGGTTCAAGCAATCTTCTACTTTGGCCTACCAAAGTGCTGGGATTACAAGTATGAGCAACTGTGCCCAGCTCATCTTTCTTTTGAATCCCTAGACCAATTCCTTCAAATTTCTTTCATACACGCATTATTTGTCTCAATAATTTCAGAAGATAATTTAAAAGAAGATTTGAGGTATTTCCTGGGAAATTTCACATCATAGAGTATATATGATCATATTACTGGCTCCTTTCCAAAGAAACACACAAATATTCCCATCTCTTCTACCTCTAAAGGGAGCAGCATTTTTATTTTTTATTTTTATTTTTTGAATTGGAGTCTCACTCTGTCTCCCAGACTGGAGTACAGTCGCCGCTCCCGGCCACCACAGCCTCGACCTGCTGGGCTCTGGCAATCCTTCCGCCTCAGCCTTCCAAGTAGCCAGAATTACAGGCATGTGCTACCACACCTGGTCGATTTTTTGATTTATTGTAGAGATGAAGTCTCGCTGCCCAGGTGGGTCATGAACCCACGGGCTCAGGCAATCCACTCACCTCAGCCTCCCAAAGGCGCGGGATTACAGGCTGAGCCACCAAGCCCGGCGGGAGCAGCATTTTTAAACTTTTTGGTTTCAGGACCACTTAGCACTCTTTAAAATTCCTGAGGCCAGACACAGTGGCTCATGCCTGTAATCCCAGAACTTTGTGAGAGGCCGAGGTGGATGGATTGCTTCAGTCTAGGAGTTCAAGACCAACCTGGGCAACACAGCGAAACCTTGTCTCTAAAAAAAAAAGTTTTAAAAATTAGTTGGTCATGGTGACACATGCCTGTAGTCCCAGCTACTACTCAGAATGCTTATTGCCTGAGCCTAGAAGGTCGAGGCTGCCGTGAGCCTCATTGCCATCATGCCACTGCACTTCAGCCTGGATGACAGAGTGAGAACCTGGCTCAAAAAAAAAAAAAAAATTACTGAGGACTCCAAAGAATTTTTATTTCCTACAGGTTGTATTTGTTGGTACCTAGTCTATGATACTGTACTAGAAATGAAAACTAAGACATTTAAAACTATTTCTTCCAAAAAAATAATAAACTCACACATAGGGTAAATAATGTGTTTTTAATTAAAAAACAATTATTTTTCCAAAACAAACAAAATATTTAGTAAAAAGAGTGACACTGTTTTTGCATTTTTTGCAAATCTCTTTGGTGTCTGACTTAAGAGAAGACTAGATTCTTTTATGTGTTTATTATGGACTGAATGTTTGTATCTCTCCAAAATTCATATGATGAAATACTAATACTCAACATCATAGTATTAGCAGGTGGGCCCTTGGGGAGGTAATTAAAGTCATGAAGGTAGAGCCATCATGAATGGGATCAGTGCCCTTATAAAAGTGACCTCAGAGAACTCTCCAGCCTTCTTTCTGCCACATGAGGATACCACAAGAAGTCTGTTGTCTACCACTTGGAAGAGGACCCTCACCAGAACCATACCTTGCTGGCACTCTGATCTGTAGCTCAGCCTCCAGAACTGTACAAAATAATTTTTTTTTAAGTGGGAAAATATAGTTTATTTAGAAAGTACATTAGTGAGAGAAGAGGAGAGAGAGGAGATATGAGAGTGAGAAGAGATTCACCTACCCAAGGTAGGGGAGGGGACCAAAGATTAGGAAAACATGGCATGGCCATAGTTCAAAAAACATATGGCCAGACGTAGTTTAGCAAGGCAATGGCCGCAAAATAAACTTCTGTAGTTTATAAGCCATCTAGTCTATGGTACTTTGTTATAGCAGCTTAAATTGACTAAGACACTGCTTCTGTATTCATTGTTTTAATTATATATATGTCTTGTAGACTCTGGAAAAGTCTAGTGTATGTTCCTGAGAGAATGAAAATAAAAACACAATTAATGTCTTAGTATTATTATAAAGAAAATTTTGATCTTGTGGATCCCCGAGTCTTGGAAATTCCCTAGGGATCCCCAGAAAACATTTTGAGAACCACTGCTATATAGTACTTTACCACTGGGAAATATTTAAGTTGTTTGTACAAATATGTATCGAGTGCCTAAGTTATATTTTAGGCATGAAGATAGAAAGGCTTCACTCATTTATCTGTTCAGTCATCAAAAAACCATAGTGAATATCTGCCAAAGGCTCTCTGCCTTACTTGACTCTCTTACCTCAAGCTAACACCCTCACTGACATTACAATGAGGAAATCTGAACTTTTCTTAGCCAATCAGAGCTTAAGACAATTCCCTATCTCGCTGCACTTTCAGTAATAGCAGCAGCTGTTCTATTTTAGCCCCTGTCACATGCAAGCAATGAACATACAAGCACAAGCTCAATCTTATGAGATCCTGAGCTGCCCCTAGATATCATTTATCTCAAGGCTCAGATCATAACCCCTATAAAAGGAAAGCTTTTCTGTTCCTTCACGGACCAGATCACGTTTCACCTTATCCATTAAATTATCTGATCTTCCTAGCACAAAATCCCTCTCTAAAGTTCTATAATACTATCTAGATTTCTCTTAAGGCATTTCTCACACTCTACCTTTTCTATTTTATCTCTGCTAATTAATTTCCAAGGTAGAAATTAATTCCTTGAAGTAAGAGACCACATATTTACATACCCCCACAACCTGGTCAGTTCAGAGCATGAATCAGGTATTTAACATTTTAATCAATATATTTCTGGCTTCCATAAGCTCTCAACAGTTATTTCAAAACAAATTGTATTAAAAATATTGTATGTTCAATAACATTTATATGAAACCTTTAAATATAAATCACTGGAATTAAATATTCATTTGCTACAGTTAAATACTTGTCACAAAATTTACTCCCTTAGGAGTAAATTATCAACTATTCCAAGAAACTTTTAGGGAAGAATACATTTTTTGTAGGACCCAATCACAATTATACATATCTTGAGAACATGTGGCATATTAGCTGTTAAACATAAAGCTAGGCAGAGCTTGGTGGTTCAGCCTGTAATCCCAGCACTTTGGAAGACTGAGGCAAGTAGACTACCTAAGCCTGCGGGTTTAAGACCAGCCCAGGCAACTTGGTGAGACCTTGTTTCTACAATAAATTTAAAAATTAGCCAGGTGTGGTAGCACGCGCCTGTAGCTTCGGCTACTTGGAAGGCTGCGGTGGAAGCATCACCGGAGACCAGTAGGTCAACACTGGTGTGACTGTGAGTTTGCCACTGCACTCCAGCCTGAGCGATGTAGTGAGACTACAACTCAAAAAAAAAAACAAACAAAAAAACTAATTCATTCAACCACTGGAGATTATGTTTTTCAACATAAAGAATAAAAATCAATTTAGAAGCTAGTTTGTCAAACTTTTTTTATATATGTGAAAAAGATTTAGTGTTTTACAATCTTACTGGTTACAGTAAGATTTAGTCTAAAATGCTGATATTGCTGTGAAAAAAGTTAAGGAGCCATATATAATTAACTGTTTTCAATTACTGCTTTTAACCCACTCTGGAACAAGATGGTTATAATAAATAAACTTCTAAATGACCAAAAATAACAAAATATGTAAAGTTTCAGATTACATCTAAAGTATTCAATTCTGAGTGTTACCTCTGGAGGATTTAATAAATCCTGAAGGTCTTGGATGATAAGATAAAGAGTCTGGAGGTCATTTTCTATGCAGAATAATAGCCTCTACATACTTATAGGGTTCTCATATAGAAAAGGGAGTTTGCTTCATATAGCGGTGCATAAATAACAAGCATATTTTGATTCAAATCAAGTGAATAGAGCTAGTAGTAAATAGAGCTATCTCTAACAATGGAACAAGTTGTCTTGTGAGGTGGTATGCTCTTTCACTGAATATATTTAAGCTGGAGTTAGTCATCCATCAGACATCCACCAGGTTGTTAAAGGAACATCTCACTGGAATGGAGATAGGAGCTCAAAATATGTAAGATCCTTTGCAATTCTAAATCCTAAATATAATTCAGACTATTTATAAACTGAGAATACTTTAAAATGGTTTAATATTTTTAAGAAATAGTGTTATCACCTATTTTAGGCAACTTAAATTTTATCAAGTTTTAAATCACAACAAAAACTGAGAGTAGAGAAAATACAAATCACAAAGGGTACTGATGTATTTTTTTCCCATGAGTTAAGTATATGCTAAAGATAATATACTATTGGGGCCAGGCATGATGGCTCAAGCCTGTAATTCCAGCACTTTGGGAAGCCAAGATGAGAGGACTGCCTGAGCCCATGGGTTCAAGAACAGCCTGGGCAACTTGGCGAGACCTCATCTCTACAATAAATCAAAAAATTAGCCGGGCGTGATAGCAAGTGCCTGTAGTTCTGGCTACTTGGAAGGCTGAGGCAGAAGGATCACCTGAGCCTGGAGGGTCAATACTGGGGTGGCCATGAGCGTGCCACTTCACTCCAGCCTGGGTGATGGAGTGAGACTTGAACTCAAAAAAATTTAAAAATATATATACTATTAACCCACAAATAACAGCTTTTAATTTACACTTACTTTCAAAACTTACCAGAATTTTGTTGGATTCCCCATCGGACTCTCATCCTGAATTGCCGACCACCACTTCTGTTTAGTCTTGGAAAATTCTGCTTCTTTCCTTCCTTTCTATTCAATTTGATAATATCATCTATGATAGAGAAAATGCCATAATTATTTTCATTTTAACTTAATGACTCAATTACTCAATCTCATTTTCTAGTTGCTAGTCTTCCTATGTCCCCAACTTCTTTTCTATTTTGAAACCACTTCCATAAAAAGACAATAATAAGAATCAGCCATTTTACAATAACCCAAAGCAGATATACCAATTAGTGAAGAGTTATATTATCCACAGTATTTCTTTCCCTGATAAATGTAAAAAAGCAAAAGCCTGTGTTTTGTTTTGTTTTGTTTACAGCTTAGGGTCTCACTCCGTTGACCAGGAAGGAGGGTGCAATGGCATGATGATAAGTTCACTGTAACCGCCAACTCCGGGGCTCAAGCAATTCTTCTGCCTCTGTGTCCCAAGTAGCTAGGACCACAGGCATGTATAACCATGCCCAGCTAATTTTTAAAACTTTTTCATAGAAAGTCTCACTATGTTGCCAAGCTGGTCTTGAACTCCTGGCCTCAAGTGGTCCTTCTACTTTGGCCTTCCAAAGTCCTGGGATTACAGGCATAAGCCTCTGTGTCAGGTCAAGTGAAAGCCTATTTACAAAAATTATTCATACTTACTTTCTATAGTCACAGAAGTCTCTATTTTTTAAAGATGACCATCTTTCAGTATAACTATAGGAAGTCAAAAAATAAGTAAACCACTGGGCACAGCAGTTCACGCCTATAATCCCAGCACTCTAGGGGACAGAGATGAGAGGACTGCCTGAGTCCAGGGGTTCGAGACCAGCCTGGGGAACTTGGCGAGACTTATCTCTACAGTAAATCGCAAAATTACCTGGGTGTGGTGATGCACAACTGTGGTTCTAGCTACTTGGAAGGTTGAGGTGGAAGGATTGTCTGCAGGTAGAGGCTGCGGTGGCTGTGAGCACGCCACTGCACTCCAGCCTGGGTGACAGAGTGAGACTCTAACTCAAAAACAAAACAAAACAAAAAACAAAAAAACCCAGCAAACCATTCAATTAAAAGAATAAATTTCTAAAATCACCTCAAGTCAGCACATGTTTACTGAGCATATACTATGTGCAATAAACATGTGTCAGGTTGTGCTGTAACTGAAACAAAAAAAGTAAAATATAGTTCCTTTTCTCAGTAAGTTTAAAATTATTGATAGAAACAGACATGTAAACAGCAAATATAAAATTAAACAAGTGCCATAATAAAGGTATAGTACTAAAAAAATACAATTGATTCTCCTCTTCTAGGAAAGCAACTCAGGGTTACTTTATTTTTTTTTCTACACTGATCTAAGCCTCATTATTTTCAAAAACACTTTCAAACAATCCCAAGGTAATTCACAAACATCACAATGCTCTAATACAACAACAGACCAATGAGGAATCAGAAAATTTTTTTAAAAATTAGCCTTGCACATACCAGCTACTCAGGAGGCTGAGGCTAGGGAATCGCCTGAGCCCAGGGAATCGCCTGAGCCCAGGATAGGCTGTGGTGAGTGGTGATCATGCCACTGCACTTCAGCCTGGGTAACAGAGTGAGATCCCGACTCAAAATAAAAAAACTAATAAATAAATAAATTGGCTTTCTCCTACCCAATATGTAAGTAACAGAAGGGGAAAAAAATCCCTTACAATGCACTGTTTTAAACATTTCTTCCATAACACTAGGGGAATATACACGGTAATAATAACAGCAATAGTAGTAATAGTAAGTGAACATTAACAGGTATTGTTCTGACAAATATCCATTTAATTCTCACAACAACCCTATGAAATTAGTATTATTTTCCAATTAAGAAACTGAGCCATGAGGCCAGTTATTGGTACCCTTGGTAGATAGTCTATACGAAATCTATAAAAACCTGGCAGAGCCACAATTTAAAAAACAAACAGAAAATCAGATCATAAAGCCTCTGCAGATCTGGTAAGGTGAAATATTCACAAAGCATAATAAGTGCCTAAAATAGATTATCATCTCATCTCTTCATCCCATCTCTTAAAATTCTCATCAAAATGAAGGCACCTGACAGACTGCTATGTGTTACTAGGGGAGAGAGAGACCAAGTTTTACTTTAGCTCTCCACAGCACCTCATTTCTACCTCCAAAGGAATTATCCTTGTTCAAGTTTTCTTCACTTGAACATCCTAATCATCAAACAAAATACATACCAAAAAACCCCTAAAAACTTAAAAAAAAAAAAAAGTCTATTGATGAGAAACAACTAGGGGGTCTAGAATCAGACTGAAATCCTGGCTCCATCACTTACTCTCTGCATGACTTTAAGCAAGTTACTTAATTTCCCTATGCCTCGGGTTTCTGTAAAATGGGAATAATAACAGTGGCATAAGTATGTACTATACGTTATGCTTGTGCGTGTCCCAGTGTAAAACACAGTGCTGAGTGTGAGGTACGATTCTAAGCAGTTTACATACACCCACTGACTCACTTGTATCCCTATGAGGTAGACACTGTCACTATCACCTTTCTACAGATGAGGCACCCGGACGTGATTCGCCCACATCCTATGGCTAGTAAGTGGCAGAGGCAGGACCTGAACTGAGACAGGGTGGCTCTGGATTCTATGCTCTTTATCAGAAGTACAAGCCTCTCGGGGTTGCTATGAGGCTAAACCGGGCTAACACAGGCGAAATGCTTAGTCCAGGACCTGGGAGGCAATAAGTACTCAATAGATACTCATAACTGTTTTACACTATTTCCTGGCCTTACCTCAACAGAGTTCTCATTTCTTTTGAACTCACTACTGACCAGCAGTAAGGCAAGATTTGAAGCCAAATCTCTTATTTCTGATAACTCGCTTGATTCACACATTGGGTTCTGCCCTGGGGCAATCCTAGAAACCAACAGCTCTTGGCTTTTGACTCAAAACTTAACTGATAAACCACAGCAAAAGGAACAAAGCCAGAGGAAAGAAGGGACAAACAAAAAAACCCTTCCAAGACGGATATCCTCCCGAATACCTCCTTGGGAAGGCCACGCCACTGAATCCTCCAGCCAAGTACTTACTTTTCAAATACCCGAGAAACTGCAGGTCACAGAAAGAGCTGGCAGAGCCGACGCCATCCAACATCATCACTCGAATGCCGACCAGAACGGAATTACTCCCAGCCCGGCTCGGCCACACACAGGCTAGTGCCCGACAGTGTTGGGTCTGAATCTGGAACCGAATGGCCAGCCTCCTGCTCTTTATGTAATCCGCACCAAAGCGTGCCGCCCTTCTCACGGGGGCCCTACCTGGCTTCCCAGCGATCCACAAACCCCCTCCTAGGTTTTCGCTTCGCCTTTTTCCTACGAGCTAACTTGGAGGCCTGGAGAAGGAGAATGAGCATTTCGGGGCATCCCATCGGATGGGCCGCCGGGCGGGGATCAGACGCCCCGGGATCCGGCCCGGGGGTGGCCGGCGCCGGTCTGGGCCCGGGCACGATCCTGCCCCCCAAGCCCCTCCCTGGGACCATCGCTTTTAACCGAACGCAGACCAGCCGGGTTCTCGAAGATCTTCCTTGAGAAAGAACGGCTCCGTCGGACCCTTCCCCTCGCTCCCGATAACGCCCACCGCGCATACGTTCGACGGGAACCCGCGGAGTTGTCCTCACAAAGAGCCGGGGTAACCCGCGAGCGGTGGCGCCCCTCGACCCTCCAAGCCTCCGGGCCCGCAGCGGCCCCCGCCCCCACACGCTCCCCTCAGACACAGCCTCGGCCGAGGGGACGCCGAGGTCCCCCTCGGGCTCGACCTGGGCACCGGGCGCCCGGCCAGCGCTCCCCGTTCTCCTCGGGGGGCCCCGCCCACCCGCCAGAAAACTCCATCGGCAACTGCGGCCAACCGCCCCTTCCCCCACAAGCCGCGCCACTTGGTTCCACCCACACCCTCCCCCCATCCCACTTCAACTCGGTCCAAGTCGGCCCCTCACCCAAAGACATATCAATTTTGTCGAGGTTTTCGTTGCTGCGGGCTTTTGGCGGCGGCGACGAGGTCGCCGTGGCTCCCACCAACCGGGTACCAAACCGGTTCATGGCTGGGGACGTCGCGCTGGAACAGTCAGCGGGGAAGGCCGAAGCCGGAGGCCTGCACCTCCCACTCACGCACGCAGACTAGCCGCACCGAGGAGCGCGCACGCGCGCTGGCGGCGTTCTCGTCCTCCCACCCGCGGCGGGCGGGGGCGGGGCTACAGAGACGCGCGGCGGACGAGAGCGGCCCCACGCCGCGTCTCGCGCCTAGCGGCCCTTGCCGGACCGGACGAGGCATTGCAACCTCCGCTCTGGGCGCCAGCGAGGGCCGCTGCTGTCACAGTTCGACTCTCGGCCCAAATCGGGGGCGGTTGGCTCCGAGCACCTCAGAATCATATGCCTTAAGTGATATCATGATCCCCCCTGTCCTTCGGGTCGCGCCTGCTGCAGAAAGGCCCCCTATACCTCAGTGCACACGAATCTTGCCCACCCCACTGCAATGCAGCCTCGGGAGGCAGGACAGACGCCTGCGAGCGCAGATTGCGATGCTACATCCCAGCTCCCCTCTCCCTGGCTCGCTCCTGTACCTGCAGCTTGCGGAGCTGCCGCGTCTGAACGCAAAGCAGAAGCTGCAGTGACAGTTCTTGCGTCACCCTAACAACCAAAGTAGACGCTAACGTTTCCCATATCCGTTCCACCTTTCAATCGGCACTCTCAAAACATTTGGCACGGTACTAACTACCTTAATAAGACTTCAGCGTCCCTTGGGAGGGGTAAGTACCTCTGTTCCTTTGGCTGCGTTTTTCTCTAATTCATTTGCGTTGGGAATTGATAGGAGGATTCGTTTTCTTTCTGATCATCCCTATAGGAAAACCTCTTAATATTCGATGAATTCCTGCGTAATAACTTTTTTTTCCTATTTACAAAACGTGATATTCCCTCCTCTTCTTAGCTCATTCTCCTTCCCCAAAGTAACAGCTCTTGTGTGTAAGCAATTCTGTTATCATCTTTATAACAGCTTAAAACTGTCTGAGACTTTGGCATCTAAAGAAAAAAACAGGGACAGGCATTCTGTCCATGTAGAAATCTCTGCTACCTTTCTCCTCTCTATTTCCTAAAATGCTAAAAAAAATTATTTAGCAGAGAAACAAGCCAGAGCCTTGAGGTGACCTAAAATATGTCAAAACCACAATAGCCTATGCTTAATTTAGTAATGTTATGATGTCATGTGGTTTCCAGCTTCAACATCAATGACATATTTTGCTATTTTTTGCTTGGGGATCCCATCTTAAAATACTTCTTTTAAAATGCACATTACACTTATTAATAATTTATTTTCCAATTTTTATTAAAATCACTCCCTTTTCTGTGTCTGAATTCAAAGCATAGGTTGCAGGGATAATTTGGGGATCACCTTAACAATAAAAGTAAATACGAACATTTCTTGTATTTGTAGCATAAATAAAGCCAAGAGCCATCACACAGAGTTATGTTTCCAGCTGAAAGCAAAGAACTGTGACTTTTTTGTGAGCCTGGGTAGTCTTATCTTGGGGAAATGTATGATTACTATTAGGCTTTTGGGAGTATTATAAGTAACTCCTTATTCTCAAAGGTCAAGTGTATTTCCCTCATGACAAATATATAGCCATACAGGAAGTTTGAATTAGCCTAGGACACACCTACTAAGGGGTACAAGAAACTTTAGTAGCAGAGGAGGGTTTGGACTCAGAAAGAACCAAAAACAATATTTGGTGTGCCAAGGAGATTGACATGTATATTCTTAGCACAATTTCATTACTTCTTGATTTTACTACTCTATGTTGTAGCCTCCACCCATCTCTGAACTGCTAAAAACTAGAGAAACTGAATTGTAGGCTCAAGACTTGGGTTTCATTGAGTGGTATATTTTCACTTACTTCAGTCATTCACTGATTATCTTGGTTTAAAAAAAAATGGTGCTCGGCTTTCGTGCTTCAGGAAGTGCTAGGGACCAAGCAGAGCAGTTGCGGCACTAGCCGCTTCACCAAGAAAGCTCTGGCCACTTGCTTCTGAGACCCCACTCAGTCAACCACTCACATGCCCACTTACTCACCAACCCTTAGGCAAAATTTTCCATACACTTAAACTGGGACTCGCTTAGTCCGACTGGCTCTGCCGCCATCTTCCTCCCTTCTCCACTTAGGTGATCTTGGGAGAGTCTCTGGGCCTCATACTCATTTTCACAACAAAAGAGTAGTAATATTGAATATGAAACTTATACTAAATTACTTTCTTAATTCCTTACAGTTCTAAAATCCTCTAAGCACAAGACATTTTCCTACACATGAGCCTTCTCTTACTAGAAATCACTTCCATAGTGTCTGCTTATTAGCGGGCATAAGCTACAGGAAGGAACTTTATGTTAAGGTCTTAATTTTATGGACGAAAATTAATGCATTTAGAGTTTAGACACATTTTGTACGTCAGGTATTTGTAGGACAGATAACAAAACTCCTAAAGGTGTAAAATCTTCCATACCACTAGTATGATAAAGATTCTCTTTTATCCTGATCTTCCCCCCTAAACGAAAGCCCCATCCTAAT